AAAAAAAAAAAAAAAAAGAAAGAAAAAACAAAAACACCATCTGCCATCCACTCTGTGCCTGGTCCCCAGGGAACCTCCAGGGCAGGGAAACAGCCAAACACAGGCACCCCTGGCCCTGCAGGGTCAGAGTAGAGACGAGCCCGTGAGAGAGAGGCTGCGGAGGCAGAGGGGCGGCCACTGTCTCCATAGGCCCCTCCCATCTCCTTCCAGAACCAGGGGCTCTGAACATCAGTGTCGGAACCAGTGGGACCACCCTGTACTGGCCCGCCCGGGCTCACAGGATGACCTACTGCATCGAGTGGCAGCCTGTGGGCCAGCATGGGAGCCTTGCCAACTGCAACCTGACTGCGCCGCAGGACCCGGATCTGGCTGGAATGGGTACGGGGCCCACCTCTGCCTCTGCGTCCCCCCTTTTAGCTCCTGGTGGGTTCAGACCTGTAAGGAAAGCACCTAGCGGGTGTCTAAGGCCCAGAGAGGTGTTGCCGCTTACTTGAGGTCACACAGAGGTAGGGACAGGGTGAGGTTTGGAGCCTTTCACCCATGTGGGTCTGGAAACTCCCGCTGGCATCTGGGCTCAGGTCCGGGCAGGTCTCATGCCTGCAGGTAATGAATCATGTCCTTGCTGTTAAAAGAAAGTCATTAAGGGGGGAAATAAAAGAAAAACAATGAATCTCACATCCTAGGGTGTTGGTTAAACATTCAGTCGCACCAGGGAAGGTGGCAGTTCGAGAGATACTGGTGGCAAATTAATGAGGAGTCTTTAGGGAAAGGGGGACTGGGGCTCCAGTGGCCTCTCACTCTCCTGCGTCCTGCCCTGGGCCTGGCGGAGTCCCTGGAAGCCTCAGTGTCAGGCTGTTTCTTGAGAAATTCACAGCCTGAGGAGACAGAGCTGGACACAGAACCCCTGGCCCTTTGACTGGGCGCGGTGGCTCACACCTATAAACCCAGCACTTTGGGAGGCTGAGGCGGGCAGATCACCTGATGTCAGGAGTTCAAGACCAGCCTGGCCAACATGGAGAAATCCCCATCTCTAATAAAAAAAAATTAGCCAGGCGTGGTGGCGTGTGCCTGTAATCCCAGCTACTCGGGAGGCGGAGGTTGCAGTGAGCTGAGATTGCACCAGTGCACTCCAGCCTGGGTGACAGAGCAAGACTCCGTCTCAAAAAAAACAAAAGAAAACAACAAAAAAAAAACCAAACCCTGGTTCCATGGACTAAGGGCTGGGTTAGAGGGGGATGGGGATGGGTTAGGGGCGTTGCACAGTGGAGAGATCCTGGAGGAGGGGACATTGGTGCAAGGGCTTTGAAGTATGAGTAGGAGTTTTCTGGGTGGTTCCTGGCACAGCCAGTGCAAAGGTGCAGAGATGGGAACACAATCTACTGAATGGCTTGACCTTTATTTATTCTTCCAGCAACATACAGCTGGAGTCGAGAGTTTGGGGCAATGGAGCAGGAAAAATGTTACTACATTACCGTCATGGCCTCTGCGCGCCCAGAGAAGCTCACCTTGTGGTCTACGGTTCTGTCTGCCTACCACTTTGGAGGCAATGGTAAGTGGCCCAGACCTACAGGTTTACACTTTTTTTTCTTTTTAAATAATTTTTAAAAATAAAGGCCGGGCGCCGGGCGCGGTGGCTCAAGCCTGTAATCCCAGCACTTTGGGAGGCCGAGGCGGGTGGATCACAAGGTCAAGAGATCGAGACCATCCTGGTCAACATGGTGAAACCCCGTCTCTACTAAAAATACAAAAAATTAGCTGGGCATGGTGGCACGTGCCTGTAATCCCAGCTACTCAGGAGGCTGAGGCAGGAGAATTGCCTGAACCCAGGAGGCGGAGGTTGCGGTGAGCCGAGATCGCGCCATTGCACTCCAGCCTGGGTAACAAGAGTGAAACTCCGTCCCAAAAAAATAAAAAATAAAATAAAAAATAAATAAAGGCCGGGCACGGTGGCTCACGCCTGTCATCCCCGCACTTTGGGAGGCCGAGGCGGGTGGATCACCTGAGGTCAAGGGTTTGAGACCAGCCTGGCCAACATGGCGAAACCCCGTCTCTACTAAAAATACAAAAATTAGCCAGGTGTAGTGGCGGGAGCCTGTAATCCCAGCTACTAGGGAGGCTGAGGCAGGAGAATCGCTTGAACCCAGGAGGCGGAGGTTGCAGTGAGCCGAGATCGCGCCACTGCACTCCAGCCTCGGTGACAGAGCAAGACTTCATCTCAAAATAAATAAATGAAATGAAATAGAGACAGGGTCTCGCTGTGTTGCCCAAGTTGGTCTCAAACTCAGGCCTCCCGAAGTGCTGGGATTACAGGCGTGAGCACCACGCCCGGCCATCTGGTACCCACTGCACGTCAGGCGGGACACGTGGAAGTCAGGGCGGCAAAGACATTCTGAGTGGGATTGTTCATATTTTTCTTTTTTTGGAAACAGAGTCTTGCCCTGTTGCCCAGGCTGGCATGCAGTGGTGCAACTGTGGCTCACTGCAGCCTCGAACTCCTGGTATCAAGTGGCCTTCCCACCTTGGCCTCCTGAGTAGTTAGGACTACAGGCACATGCCACCATGGTTGGCAAATGTTTTTCTTTCTGTAGACACAGGGTCTCGCTATGTTGCCCAGGCTGGTCTTAAACTCCTGGCGATCCACCAGCCTCGACCTCCCACAGTGCTGGGATTACAGGGATGGGCAACTGTCTGGCTTAACAGCATTATCCACTTTTTTTTTTTTTTTTGAGATAGAGCCTCGGCCTGATGTCCAGGCTGGGTTCAATGGCGCGATCTCGGCTCACTGCAACCTCCGCCTGCTGGGTTCAAGCGATTCTCCTGCCTCAGCCTCCCGAGTAGCTGGGATTACAGGCGCCCACCACCACGCCCAGCTAATTTTTGTATTTTTAGTAGAGACGGGGTTTCGCCATGTTGGCCAGGCTGGTGACGAACTCCTGATCTTAAGTGATCTGCCCGCCTCGGCCTCCCAAAGTGCCGGGATGACAGGCGTGAGCCCCCGCGCCCGGCCCCCACCGGCACCTTGGCGCTCACTGTGACAATGGTACTGGTTGCAGCCTCAACGGCTGGGATGCCGCCCCACGTCTCGGTGAAGAATCACAGCTCGGACTCGGTGTCTGTGGACTGGGCGCCATCCCTGCTGAGCACCTGTCCCGGCGTCCTGAAGCAGTATGTCATCCGCTGCCGAGATGAAGACAGCAACCAGGTGTCAGGTACGTGAGGCAGTGCAGGCCTGGCTGGGCGAGGAAGGGAGGATCCTGGCCCCAGATCCCCCTTGCTGTGTGACCCTGGGCACCTTGCCGACCCTCTCTGGGCCTTGATTATCTTACCCTTAAAACAAGAGAATTGGACTTGAGAGTCTTCTTTTTTTTTAATTCCAAATTTATAGACAGGGACTCGCTCTGTGCCAGGCTGGACTGCAGTGATGCCGTCATAGCTCACTGCAGCCTCAACCTCCCGGGCTCAAGCAATCCTTCCACCTCAGCCTCCCTAATAACTGGAAGCACAGGTGCACACCACCATGCACAGTTAGTGTTCTGTTTTCTGTAGAAATGAGGGCTTGCTGTATTGCCCGGGCTGGGTTGTTTTTGTTTTGTTTTGTGTGTGCTTTTTTTTGAGAGGGAGTCCAGCTCTGGCACCCAGGCTGGAGTACAGTGGCACGATCTCAGCTACTGCAACCTCTGCCCCCCGGGTTCAAGCAATTCTCCTGTCTCAGCCTCCCAAGTAGCTGGGATTACAGGACCCACCACCATGCCCAGCTAATTGTTGTATTTTTAGTAGAGATGGCGTTTCACCGTGTTGACCAGGCTGGTCTTGAACTCTTGACCTCAGGTGATCCACTTTGGCTTCCCAAAGTGCTGGGATTACGGGCGTGAGCCACCACGCCCAGCTGAACTCGAGGGTCTTGATCACCCCTTGCAGAGCCTGGAGAAGGCTGGGTGGGCACCAGCCAAGTGCTTGTGATGTGTTGGGTCTGTCCTTGGGAGGCAGCCTCTCACATGTAGCAGCAGCTCAACTCCCATCAAGCAGGGATGACTGTGTCCATTCCACAGATGAGGAAACCGAGGCTTGGAGAGGGGATCTGATAGGGCTTTAGCTGGGAGGGTTCTCGGCTTTGCCCGGGAAAGAGTTCACGGGCAAGTCAGTGGTGTTAGACAGAAACTTATGGAAGCAGCCATGTGCAGCAGCAGCAGAAGTCCTGCCCCTTGTCCTATTTATACCCGCTTTTAATTATATGCAAATGAAGGGGCGGTTTATGCAGAAATAGCTAGGATGAGGGTGGTACCTTCCGAGCTGTGGGTTCATTGCCATGGACGGGGGTGGTAATTTCCGGGTGTTGCCATGGCAGTGATAAACCAACGTGGCACACTGGTGGCTGTGTCTCATGGAGAGCCCGGGACCTGTTTTAGCTAGTCCTCAATTCCGTCCTGTATCCCAGACCCACCTCCAGAGTCCAATCCTGCCTCCAACCTCAGATCCACCTGCCCAAAGAGCAAAGAAGTCGGTCAGGCACGGTGGCTCACGCCTGTAATCCCAGCACTTTGGGAGGCCGAGGCGGGAGGATCGCTTGAGGCCAGGAGTTCAAGACCAGCCTGGCCAACGTGGTGAAACCCCATGTCTATTAAAAATACGAACATTAGCCGGACATGGTGGTGGGTGCCTGTAATCCCAGCTACTGTGGAGGCTGAGGCACAAGAATTGCTTGAACCTGGGAGGCGGAGTTGGGAATGAGCCGAGGTTGAGCCATTGCACTCCAGCCTGGGCAACAGGGTGAGACTGGGTCTCAAAGAAAATAAAATCTTGAGATGAATGAGCGCATTAAGAGAAGAGATTTTGGCCGTCGCGGTGACTCATGCCTGTGATCCCAGCACTTTGGGAGGTTGAGGTGGGTGGATCACCTGAAGTCGGGAGTTCGAGACCAGCCTGACCAACAAGGTGAAACCCCATCTGCACGAAAGATACAAAATTAGCTGGGTGTGGCGGCCTGCACCTGTAATCCCAGCTACTAGGGAGGCCGAGGCAGGAGAACAGCTTAAACTCGGGAGGCGGAGGTTGCAGTGAGCCGAGATTGCGCCACTGCCCTCCAGCCTGAGCAACAAGAGCAAGGCTCCATCTCAAAAAAAAAAAAAGAGAGAAGAGATTTTAGCAAAATGCCCATGGACCCACGCCCCGCCCCCACAGGCTGTGGCAGCCCAGCCTGGCCTCTGAGGACTAAGCGGGTCCCAGGACTCAGGGCTGCCTCCTCCACTGCAGAGCAGCCCGTGCAGCCCACAGAGACCCAGGTTACCCTCCGCGGCCTGCGGGCCGGCGTGGCCTACACGGTGCAGGTGCGAGCGGACACCGCGTGGCTGAGGGGGGCCTGGAGCCAGCCCCAGCGCTTCAGCATCGGTGAGTGGAGGGGGCAGGGCCCAGTTATCACACAGCACGCGCTGCGCTTCCCCTAATGATCTTAGCAGCCCTGCCCTCACCCTCATTACCCCCATGACTCCCTACTGCCCTCTGGAGAAAGTAGCAGCTCCACCTGCTCCACTGTCTCTTCTCACAGCTTCCTCTTACACTCCGGGGGCCTTGCCCATGCAGGCCTTTCCCTCCCTCCTGCCTGGAATGCTTGTTTTCCCCACTGTCAAACTCCTATTCATCCTTCAAAACTCAGCTCAAAAGCTCCCTCCTCCAGCCAGCCTTCTCTGCCTCCTTCTGGCCACGCCCTCATCTACAACTGCTCCTCCTCCCTGGCCTGATGCCCCAGGGTTGGGGGTAGATGTGTCAAGGGATCTGGGGGCTCTTGAGGAGGAGAATGGTACAGGGATCTGTTCACTGAGCGACAAGTAAATGAATGTCTCTCTCGATGCAAAAATAAGGAGGACACAGGCAAAGCCCAGCGAGGGGGCTCATGCCTGTCGTCCCAGCACTTTGGGAGGCTGAGGCTGGAGGATTGCTTGAGCCCAGGAGTTCAAGACCAGCCTGGGCAACATGGTGAGACCCCATCTCTACAAAAAATATTTTAAAAAATAGCGGGGTGTGGTGGCGCACACCTGTAGTCTCAGCTACTCAGGAGGCTGAGGTGGGAAGATGGCTTGAGCCCAGAAGTTCAAGGATGCAGTGAGCTGTGACCGAACCACTGCACTCTGGCCTGGGCGACAGAGCAAGACTCTGTCTCAAAAAACAAACAGAAGAAAAAGAGAAGAAAGAAGAAGAAGAGGAAGAGGAAGA